TTTTAAGTTTTCCAACTGCAGTGGATATCGCAAATTAAAGGTTGGCATTTAATGAATCAGTTATATACAGCCTGCCTCAGGTAGAGTCTGTTAATGACATTTGTAAAATATAAGGTAAATAGACCAAGTCAATGTCTTCTGGCTCTGAGTTAGAGGAAGGGAGTAGACATAGGTTTTTTGAATCCATTGCCAATGATTTACTTTTAGTTAAATTATATACAATGTAGCATCTTTTTTTCTAGGTGCATAAAATTAAGAGGAGAGAGCTTAAAAAAAAAAAAAAAACTAAACAGGATATGGAACGTGCTGGGAATGGGTCATAACTCACCTGTGGTTTGGTTTTTTAATGAATGGAGTATGGCATTACCTGAACCAGACCGTTGATCATCCTGAGCAAATCTTTCAACCTCTGTTACAGGTAGAAGGGAAAGAAGTTAATGTAGGTTTTGGGGGGGGGGGGTTGAAGTTCAGGGTTAAGTATTTTCTACCGCATAGAACATATACTTTTATATTTATCTTTGCACTTAATCTATATTGTTTATCATGATATATGGCCAGAATATTGTATCTGATGGCTTTAGTGAGAAACACAGCATACCAGATGGACTAAAGAGAAGTTGTGCTCAGGAAAAGCAGCCTAACCTTACTGTAAACGCGCTTTGAGCACTGTGATTTCATCGTGAATAACGAAGCAGAAGGTTCTTTGCAAGGTGTACAGGAACGCACATTTAACAGACTAATAACTTATCCAAGATAAATTGATTTTTTTTTTCACTTCAAAGTTTTGCTTCATCTCTTTCATTTCCAGGGAATGATAAGAATTGTGAAAAAAATAGTTCATTTAGCTGCAGGCAGTCCAATACGTATTTTGATTATGTTATTTCGTCTCCCTCGAGGTGTTTTTGCTTAGTTCTGATGAGAACTACAAATGTATTTTATTGTTCTCTATCAAATTAACTAGGTGTAGGTAAATCACGACCTCTCTATTACACAATCACATTCGTATTTAGAATTTCCCCTGAGGAAATGGAATCTGCATAGTCAGTAGAGTCTGGCTGTAGAACAGACAGAAATCATTGAGTTATTTTATTCCACTTTCTGTTTTTAGCCTAGATGTTTTTTCGTAAGGATGTTATCATTTTGAAATCGGTCCAGTCAGCTTAGCACAGCTTTATCTCATTCTAAGGTAAAGTGTAATCTCGGTAACATGACCTGGGCATATGGTGGATGATTTTCCCGCTGAGCACTTTCTCTGTTAAATCAGCATGGTGGAGTGTTATATGTATCAGAAATTATGATGTCAGTAATACATGCATGCACACATTGCACTGATCACGCCCTGTGGGGAAAAAAATCATCATCCTTTTCACAATCTCAGAAATGTATCATCAGTAAGATCGTTTATGGTTCTAAGATTCAGCCTGATGATGCTCTTGTGGCATGTAGCTTTTTCACTGCTATTTTTGTTCCAAAGTAAGTAAATACTATGACTAAAACATCAGTTATAATACTCAGAAATGCAATTATGGTTTTGATGAGCTCTGTGTGCCGTATCAACACTGTGTAAATTTGTAGACAGGTCTGATTGACCAGCAAATGACCAGTAGGCGTAAATTACCGCAAGACCAATACAGAGTACAAACAATCCTGTCTGACACTGAATTCCAGCACCTCAGTCTTTGCTGCCAGGTGCTAGTGGTAGGTTTTCTCTCAGATTATATCAGTCTTAACTTTAGGGAGCAGGTGTTTGATGGCAACCCCCAACTGCGTTATTCTCAGTCAGTTTTCTCTGAATTTAGCAGTCAGGGTTCCTTTTCTCTCTCTCTCTCTCTCTCTCTCTCTCTCTCTCTCTCTGTGTGTGTGTATTTGTTTTTGTGGGGTTTGGCAGTCAGAAGTCAGGATAAAAATTTGAATTCAGGATAAAAGTAAATAATTCTGGGTGTAATTTTCTAGTGCAAAACACCTTTTATAACAAAATTTTCCTGTCTTGGGTTAGATGACATAATGACTAGATTGCAGTGGGTAAGAAGATCTTACAGTCGACCTGCAAGCCGGTTTTACTGCTTAATTTCATAGTACTTAGTATGTTGCATTTGCAGACTTTTATGTACCAAGACTGAGAGTGCTTCTAAATATTCTGTATTGACGTCAAACGGCAGTTAATTTTTAACTCCAAGCACTCTTCACCCAAAGTCTCTCTCTCTTGGCTTTTCTTATACCATTTGTCAAGTAGGAAGTAAATGAAAGATATTTTATTCTTTGGACATGGATTGACTCAAATATTTATTTTAAAGTGGAAGCTCTTAATGTTGACTTCTATGTTACAAAAGACTTAAAACATGGCATTAGTGAGCCCAGTTTCTGTTAAAAATATAAGTATTTTGAGGGTAAATATATGATGTCATATCGAACAAAGAATTTTGTTTCTTTACACTGTTATTTTTGAACAACTAGAACTGTCACTCTGTCATATTTTTTGTGTAAGTCCCATTTGTTGTCTGTGGCTGTCTGCTGCAGCATGTGGAACTTTGTCAAGATAAAAAATGAACCAGATTTTTCTCCATTACATCTTCATTGACAGTAAAGTAATTTTCAGATCCCAGGAAATTTGATTTCCTTCCTCCATCAGATGGTTGTCTGCAGATAAAGAGTGCATTCATAAAAAGTTGATCCCAGACTTACTAGTACAGATCCGCAGATGAAATATGGCTGACTCACTTGAAGGGTAGCTGTATGAGGGATAGAAACCAACCGCGTATATGTATAATACCGGTCACGTGCGTGTGCTTGGCGAAAGCAAGAGGCAGAACACCAGCTTGGGAGAGAGAGCGAACAGCTTTATTCCACTGAACTACAGAGATATTACATACAACTCTTTACTGCTGCTACCAGTGCAAGAGCTAACAACAGACTTTTTTTTGGTTACTAGAACATTACTTCTTATACCTTTAATTTGAGTGGGAGTGGATTTACAACTCCATTGGTCAACTGACCACCGGAAAAACATAATTTCCTATAGCAATAAACTGGTGGACATTACTGATAAGCGACTCTTATGGTCACTTTTATTGAATGTTGTCAGTTGTCCACGTACTAGCCAGTAACTTTTATGGTGGCACGATATTGATGACCATATGCTAGAAGAATGGTTAGCAATCAGGAGACGAGTCATAAATCAGAACCAATAATGACAATACGATATTGGTGGTCAATACACATCTTAATTACTTGGAAACAGGTGGTGATTCATAAATGAACTGAACCAAACAGGTATTCTTGATGACTTCAATCTCAGATACCAGCTGTTACCACATAATTATGTAAACTTTAAAAACTTTTTGAGTTATGACAGCTGTCATAATCCCCTGATGGTCTCCCCGCCTCCACACATGCCGTCCCTGCAGTGGCCTTGTAATTAAACCTTGGAGCCACGATTAAATACATTTAATGGCATGTGTGGAGGTGGTGAGACCATAAGGAGATTAAACTGCTTCCTTTTATGATATGTCGGCCATATTTAGTCCACAGATCATCTGTTCTGAATACGCTGAATGAAAAGAGCCGAGTGTTAGCTGGTCCATGGCCTAAATATGGCGGACCTACATGAAAGGAAGACCTTTTAATCCTGTAATGGTCTCTCTACCTCTTTCACGCCTCCCTATGCGTTGCCCTGCAGGGGCACAGTCATTAAATCTTGGTTCCATTCGAATGGAGGCAGAGAGACCATTACAGGATTAACTGGTATTCCTTTCATCTAGAGTCTGCCATATTTGAGCCTTGGACCAGTTAGTACTCGGATCTTTAATTCTGAATGGGGCCATTGACTGTCCACATCACAGCTTTGATAGCATTTTACATAATGATAATTGGCAGCATGAAAGAATTGCTACTTTGCTGGTATATGGTGGTAATAGGACTTTATAGTTCTTTAGGACTTTATGAAATAATATTCACCAAAATATGATATGGTTGTTTCCTTTAACAGTTTGCACTGTTATGCTCAATATTACACTCTGTCTTTTGAATATATTAAAACTGCTCTTTCCTTTCTTTAACAAATGTTTTTGATTATGATTATTTATTTGATCAGTCTTACTTTCTGAACAAAGCACATGTATATCTGAAGTATTTGTAGTAAAACTGTCGGGCAGTTTGCCTGATATAGACTGTCTAATAAGCAATGGAGGAAATTGAATTTCACCATGATGGATAGGTTTGTTGGTCTGAAGCCATTCTTTTTCTGATGATAAATGATATCCCAGACATCTACGGTAACTTTGCATAGAAAAACAACGTTGGAAGATGTTACACTACTGGGTCTATAATAGTTGGTTTTAGACCTTTTATGATTTGGCTTAGATAAGTCATTTTTTCCGCTTTGTTTCATACAAATTCTGTGTATATGATGGTACTTAGGAGTTGTCTTCACAGATGTAGATTGGAAACCTGAATTTTTCGTAGCATTTCTTTTGCTCTGAGCAGCCCCAGATGTCACACCACCAAGTCATTTCTACCTACTTTTTTTTTTCTCTCAACCCACAATTATGTCTGATCACAGTTCCTCTGACGTCATGCTGTGGGTGCACTGGGTTAATTGCAAGTATTGTGACCAGTCAGATCATTGGTTATCTTCATCAAGTCATTGAAAAGAAGGGCTGCGTCCGTCTTCTGTGGCATAATGGAAAGGTTTAGAAGTTTACAGACATCTTTTTTTTTTTTTTGACCATGATTTTTCTGAAGCATTTGATGTTTGCCTGTTTACATATTTGTTGTGTTAATTTTTTAAAAATAAATTAGATTTTTTCTGTCTGAGAGCATATTTGTCCTTGGCATTTCATTTGTAAGAATTCTCTTGCAGTCGCTATTTTTTTGTGGGGGGGGGGTATGTTATTGTCATATATGTTCTTAACCAAATACCTCCCTCTTTTTCAGAGTTAGCTGAGATAAAGTACTCTGTGACTTTCACCTAGTTAAGATCTCCTATGTTGTTCTTATTTCAGACATCTGGAGCCTTGGTGTCCTTTTGTTCATGCTGGTGTGTGGGGAGCCGCCCTTCCAAGAGGCCAACGACAGTGAAACACTCACCATGATCATGGACTGCAAATACAAACTTCCACCTCATGTATCACAAGAGTGCCATAAGTGAGTAGTCACTTTTCTCCACACTGGGGACTTCTCTCCATTCCCCCCTCCCTCATTCTCTCTCTCCTCCCCCCCCCCCTCCCCCCCAAACTCTCAGCCTGAAATTTATTCGCATGCAAATAACAGCACTTTTGACAGTGGTATAGATGGTATCAAGAATGAAAAAATAGCTTCCTGCAATTTGAAGGTCACATGCAACCTAATTCCTTGTCATATATATTTAGTGCATGATTTCCCCGAGGACTGTCCAATAGCCATGATTTTCAAGATTTCCAAGTCAGTTTTGTTTAAGGGCAAATTGGCGTAAATAGCCCCTGCCAAGTGGCCTCTGCAGCCAGGGTGAAATGATGTCCATACAGTTTAAAGATTTTCCTATTAATGTCGTCCTCATTAGAAAAGATCATGGAATCCCAACCTGATAGTCAGATACACGACCTTATCTAAATGTCAATTGCTTTTCTGTGTGTTTGATTACTAGTTAAGGTTCCATCTCTCCAGCAGCCATCCACCATAAAATAAGAGAGGTTTTAATTTTATAGAAGCCTTCAGCAACTCTTCAGCCACGAAATAAGAAAGGTTATGATTATCGAATCGATCTGTTTGAAATGGCAGAACTAAAGTGAATATCAGTTGTGGGTATCTTGCACGTTCGTTATCTTCCGTGGTAATGAGTTTTGTCATTGCGTTGATAACCCAGGGTCTCAATTATTGTTCTAATGTCATTAAATGACTGTACTGATATAATAGTTGCTGCCTGCAGTAGATGGTCAGATATATACATGAAAATGGTTGTAGCAGCCATTTTGGTGTGAAATGGAAGAAGGCATAAACTTATTGTTTTCAAATGTAGCTCTGTAAAAAAAGGTAAAATAAAATGAAACTGCACATGTCATCCCTTGAGGATGTTTCGCTGCTTGGAAAATTGTTTTTGAATTTGGAAATATTGTAAAATTAAGTTGTCATTATATCAGGGGTTATGACATTATTGCTGCTATATTATGAACAGCTGACACAGAAACCCAAGTTGCCCTAATGAAGAGAAAGGGTTGAAACAGGCCTTATCAATGTAACAGTTGACTTGAAAAGGCCAGTCCAGTGCCAGGAAACCAGACTTTTTAGTAAGGGGAAATAAAGGAAATAGATGTAGATGCCAGAAGAAACCTAGTTTTGAATATATTTAAATAAGCCTGATGTACTTATGAAAGGTTGTCTGAATAGTCACCTTGAAGACAATGTCAGGCACTCTTTATTGCCAGGGTCCAGTTGACTGTATAGTTATTAGAGAAGTCTGAGGTTTCTTTCAAGCTGGCATGATGAAGTTGGTTTCAAAATGAAGCACTTCTGACTGTGAGAAAAGAGGATCCTACGTGTCTGTGTACTACTACTACTACTCTTTAACACTTGACAAAGACTGTAATTTACTAACTTTTATACTTGTGGAATTCCTTGAGATAGCTCAAAACAAGGCACCCGTGTGACGTAGAAAGACACAAGAAGATTTGGGGAGAATTTTTGTGTTTGCCATTATTTCTGCCCCCACTTTCCCCCAAATCCCATGAACTCTCCTTCGATTTTACATCACAGACAGTGCACTGTCTTGGATGATTCTTATTAAAAATTCACTTTACAGATTTTAACATTTACTGAACCAGCTGGTGTTGCTGTTGATGATTTAAGAACCTGTATAGGGAGGTTAGTATTAAATCATTTCTACAAGCCATCTGTGTACTCTAGGTGGAGATGGTTTCCAGGTACAGGTGTGATCATATGGCCGAGGCAGGGGTATTCCAGGTGCACCTTAACCCGAGCCTCCATAACAAAGTTCTTAGGGCATTTTTGCAGTCTGTTCAAACTCTAGATATTGACAGTGTCAGTATGATGAGACCTGATATGGCAACATTTTCATCCTCTGAGAAAAGTCACAAGTAACAGCTATTATTAGCTGATTCTGTAGGTAGTTGACAGTTGTGTCGACTTTAATTGACATGAGGTTATTTCCAAGCAAGCTATCTTCTTGTAGTCTAAAAACATATGTAGTTAAAAGAGTTGCAGATTCCATATTCTTATCAACTTTCTCGAGTCCTTCTCTAAAAACATTTTTAGTTAAAAGAGTTGCAGACTCCATATTCTTATCAACTTTCTTGAGTCCAGTGACGCGTGACTGGGCTATTGTGAAAAGAGATTCCAGATTTCGTTATTCTTATCAGTCTTTGGAGACCCCTGAAGCATAGCTGTGGAGGTGTGATTTCAGGATAGCAGTTTCTGCTAGTCTTATCAGTTTCTGGAGACCTGTGAAGCAGGCCTGATGAACTTTCCACAAGTGCAAGGTGTTGTCTGTAGAGGCAAACTCGGGTCTCCCAGCTGTACACAAAACAGATGTCGGCAGAAGTCAGGAATGCACCCTCTATTTTGGGAAATTCCGGTCTGAGAATAGAGATGTATCTAAACATGAAAAATGAACACACACACACAAACACTACTTCCTCAGAACAAGGTCAAAGGCCGAGAAGCACAACTTTAGTTGTCTCATAAGCTTCCCAGTTTTGTTTAGCAACGATGTAGTGATTACCTTTAAGCAAAAACTTAAAAAAGACAAACGTGCGTGGCTCCTCAGGGCCATGGTATGTGGAGACAATAGTACACTTGTTCAGGACTGTACTTTTATATATATATATAGACAGTGTGATTAATAGTGGCATATCTGGAGAAGGTGGACAACATTTGACCTGTGAAGCTTTGTTCAGATTCTTTATAAAACTTCTGCTGATTCAGGTCTCTAAAATCTTTCATTAAAACTCCAACAACAAAATTTTGCTTAAAATTACCATGGTTATCTTATGAGAGAGAAAGAGAGTTGATGGAAAATGAAAGTAATCAGAACTGACATTTGGAGAAAATTGGTGTTTGAATAGAGGACTAGAGGGATGAATTACCTATAATTCTGCTTTTTTTGCTGATAGAATATCTACCGAATCAATTTGTTCAGTTGATTATACCATATAATTCCCCATATTGGGTTATTTTAAAACATCATTGATTAAGGCGTATTACATAATATTTATATACTATTTCATCAGTTTTTGCCAGACCTGGTATAAGGCTGACTTTGCCATCCATGATTATTATCCAGATTTATTTGTCATTTCCAATGCTTGTTAATCTTATGCACCTTCCCTTGGGAAATGTTATAAATATCAAGAAAGGTTCTTTCTTGTTATCCATTTATTTGTTAAAGTCACTCATATAACAGTGTTCTTTGTAAACAGGGAGAAGCGATTTTCTAGATAGCGGCAATAATTTTTCAATCAGGATGGAAACAAGGTTGTATTGCAAACAGAAGGCCTATATAGACAGAAAGAGCAGCAAGATGGGAAGCTAACTGAGGCAATCAGACTGAAAGGTTCCTTGAAAGGTTTCATGTGGGAAGATAATGCAAAAAACAAAAACTGATCATCTGGTGACATGAGATGTTCCAGGGTATCCTATCTAGGATTTCCCTTTTAATTTGAAATCTCCCCCCCCCCCCTCCCCAAAAAAATTCTTTTGAGCAATTTTATCTTACTCACAAATCCTTGCTCCTCCCATCCTTGCACTTGGATTCAATGTTTTATACCTTGTGTCATTTAAATAATTTATGAATTCGGGATATTTTAATATGTGGATAGTATACCTAATTAGAACATATTTTGTTTTATTTCATTACTTTCATTTTTCCACTTCATATCTTTTTATATTCTAACAGATATTTTTTATTGCTTAATTTTCCAGCTTAATATCCCGCATGTTGAGAAGGGAGCCGGAGGAAAGAGCTAACTTGGAGGAGATTTCGAACCACTCCTGGCTGACCAAGGGGGACCCCACACCCACGCTTAATGTGCCGCTTGTCTCACGGGAAATGATATCTGATGAAGACAATGAGTACATCATTGCCAAAATGGTGGAAGGAAATATCGCCAGCAAGGAGGAGATCTTGAGGTTTGATGCTGTTAACGAATACCATGTTTGCTTGTCTAATTGTAAGAGAAGTGCAATGCAGATAAATTATGTTTAATTCCTTTACAACGGCTCCTAACTGTTGTAAAGATGGGGGAAAGTAAATCAATTCTAAACATGTTTTCTTGTGAGATGAGTTTCTCTGGTAATAATATGATCTTTTTTTTTTCAATCATTACACAGGAGACAATAGAAAGCACTACATCACCACATGACAAAGTAATTTGTTATACATTACAGATGTGCTCATTCACCAACAAGGTCTGAGTTCAAATAAGCACAAGATGCAGCGAGTTTTATCAAGTTGGGCATACAAAGCTTGATGCTTAACTGGATTTCTTTTAGCCAGCTCAAAATTTAGAACTAGTCAGTGATAGTATTGGCTTTAAAAAAGAAAGATATTACTATTTTTCCTTATCTTAATTCGAAAATGAGCATCATTTGGCTAAAATTGATTATGCTAGAGCCAAGAGAAGGAATAAGACTGAACCAGAGCACTGGCCAAAAAGAGAAATGCATTAACACTTGCTTGTTGACAAATGTTGAATTCGCTCCCTCATCACAATGATGTGATATGGCCTTCATCCCAATCGAACAGTCTTGATTTTTGGGTCAACATTTTGGATTTCTGGCAGCCAATTCGACCTTAATTCATTTTTCATGTAGACAACTGATAAAGGCTGATGTGCCTTGAAAAATGTCTCATTCTTGAAAGTGCATTTATTGACCCAACCTGCATTGATTGATTTGCATTGTACACCCACACACAAGGAAGTCAATCTTACTTTCGAGAAAATATGAAAATGCAAACAAAGCCAAACATAGGGTCATGCCATCAGACTTTGTAGTGTACTTTTTGTTTAAAAGACAGTGAATTATTATTGCAGACAGCAAACTAAAGATGATTGATCCATTTTCTTAATGAAAAAAAAAAATGCACACACGAAAAACGAATAAATCTCTCTTTATTGGTAACCCAAACCCAGGCATCTCAAGTGGGTAATCATTGAGAAGCTTGCCAGTTCCTGTATTGTGTAAACTGATAGCATGTGTGTGAGTAGAGAGAGCAAAGCTGTATTCCCTTGGCCAAGAGAGACCTAGTGAGTGTGATAGCTGTAGTCCCTGTACAAAGAGAGATACCATCGTGATGGAAATTAAAGGACGTGATTAATGTGTTGGTACTTTTATTTGGTGTTGTGATGCCACACTGAGCCCCAGAAAAAAAAATTGAAAAATATTTTTAAAAAAATGTAGATTGTGGAGCTTTTTTTACGGTTTGAAGACTTGAAGAAGACCTTTAAAAATTTTGATTGGGAAAAGAAACCCACTTGACGAGACTGAGACCAGTTGAAAAGAAAACCTTTCCCAACATTTACACTGAGTAATGACATATGATATGTATACATCAAGTTGGTTAGTTTCTAAATGATAGTTCTAGCATTTGATTTATAACATGTTTTGATTTACACTTAATCTTTCTGGAAAATATTATGTACCATTATCAGAGCTACTCTATTCAGTGTGATCGAGATATACACTTATCTTTCAGGAAAATATTGTGTACCATAGTCTGAGTTACTGTATAGAGCATGATCATGTTTTATATGTCAGATTAGTTCAGTTTATTTCTTTGATAAGGTTTTTTAATGTGTATATAACTTGATGGCATACTGTGATTGTCTTTGTTCCTCTCTACAGGAGACTAATACATACCTTGTACATTCTCCCAAGGGGTCATCTATTTTTATCATCATATTCACAAGTCTACAAAGCATAGACTTTTTCCAGACCCCCCTTCAGGGAACAAGATTAAAAGCTAAAAATGATAACCTTTGCCAGCAATTTGGATCGCCATTTTTATTATTTTCCAATAGCGTACAGACAGCATTAACTCCCCCCCCTCCCCTTCCCCACATATTATAGATTTAACAAAATGATTATATAAATGGCTGAACTCTTAGGAGTGTGACTTTTCCAGCTTTTAAGACATTCAAACTTCTGCCACTGTATATCACTCATATACATGTAAAGATGTATTTTTTTATTGACATGCATGCGCACACACACACACACATATGCATATGCACTGCTTTACTTTGAAAATATTTAAATATCACATAAAGTATATAATTTTTTCATTTCAGTTCTCTGGAGAAGGACCAGTACGATCACATAACAGCCACATATTACCTCCTAGCTGAGCGCAGACTAAAACGCCAGCTCACAATGATGGCCACTGCTATATCTGACAACGGACCTCCCCAGGCTCCGCAGCACGTTCTCCGTAGAGTAGCATCCGCAGGGCCAGGCCAGCTTAATCTGGAGCCTCTTGCACTCTCTCCAAGGTGGGTTTACCAACAATAGTTGGTATTGATGTGGTGGCTCCTGGCTGCAGGGGTGCCTGTGTTTATTAATATGACCTAAATTATGTTTTGGTCCTTATATCTTTTTTCCTTTCCAGGTGTTTGTCCTGTAGATTTCATACATGACCTTTTTCCATTTTTGCATGTTTAGTTAAAGAACAAATTAGATTTAAAAAATCATAGTATTTTAGAGACCTGGTGATATATGAGGTACGGCTGTACTCATCCACATTTTCCTACATTATTGATTATTTCCATAGAGGTGAGAAGGGCACTGCTTAGGATAGTTATTCATACAGACTGGACCAACTGCATTTTATTTCCTCGATGGTGCACTTTTAATAGATCAAGTTTCTGCCTTCGTGATGATGTGCTGAGTTAAGTGCACTGGCATCAAGTTAAAAGGAAAATTATTCGTGGTATTTGCAAGATTTTTTTTTTTTTTTTTTTTTTTTTTTTCGTATTTTGGGAGAGATAGCAATTATTACGAGAAAAAAAAAGCGACCATTTTACTCTGGGCCCTGCTGTTATGTGGTGTTGACGGAGTGTTCTCAAGTTAAATGTCAAATGGAGGAAATTTGTGCTGCTTCTCCTCTCATATTCTGCCTCTTTGTGTCTTGGGAGGATTTTTGAGGGGGAAAAACCTCTGAAGTATATCAACAGCAACTCATTTCATCAAAGGTAGACTTGATTGGGAAGACACATTACTCCCTATAATGGAAGAGAACTGTTTTGAAACAAATTAGAAGAGAGGGAACTTCAGCGATATTTCGAAGTTTTCAATTTCTTTTGGGCTATTATTATTACAAACCAGTTTCATTATTGACAAGTGAGAAATGAGACTAAAACCCACAAGATGAATTGAACATTAAAATTTATTTAAAAAAAAAAAAGAGTATGCTAAATGGCATAAGTAATTTGGCAAATAATTAAGCATTGGCCACTTAAGGGCAAATATTGTCAATGCAAATTTTTGGAATAGAATTTCATCTGAAAAATTAACTGTCAGTGCAGTTGAATTTAACTGCATGTTTTGGCTAAAACCTGTAAGGTCCCTGTGATCCCAGAAAGTTTCATTCACTACTAAACAGCTGCTTTCCTATATAGGAAACCATTCCAATGAAATGGCTTGACAACATACCTTTGTATGGTTTCACGTCAGAGAAGATAACCCATTCCCTGCTGGCATTTTGATCTCCATAGAGAAAAAAATGTAAAGAGCTCAGGATATGCATAGTTGGCATACCGTCACATACCTTGGGATCTATTTTTGGTGCTTTTAGATACAACTTTGTCTGTGTTACTTGTAACATTCAATACATTACATGCTGTAGGTCTGACATAACGAGTGCCATTTTAACCTCACCAGTACTTCAGGTAAATTTATTTCAGATACGCTGTGTCTGTTTTAGCTCATTATTAGGAAGGGGTAAATCTGTTATCCTTTGGATTTTGTCTGCTTCTTAGTATTGTCTTAAAGTTTACAGTCTCTGTTTCTCTCTTTCCCTCTCTCTCTCTCTCTCTCTCTCTCTCTCATTCCAATTTGATTGTTTATTTTCTGTACAGCAGCAGGCGTCAGTTTATAACCTCAGCTGCTTCTACATAAGAACTTCAGGGAAATACAAAAATCAATTCTGTTAAGCCACAACTCTTGCCTATATGACCTTTTTGCTGATAAACTCTATTGATTTCTATTGATATGAATTATAACTAATTACATTTTATGTAGCATTTGAAGCCATATTCCTTCATGCATTTATGATATATTATTGTAATATTTTTAATGGGGGTAAAACAATTGGGTTGATGATTTTGGGCATTTCTGTAGATTGCCAAGGGAAAAAACTGGGTACCTGTAGCTTTAATTTCTTAGAAATGCCATTAAGTAATGAAACACTTTTTCTACTTTCTCTCTTTTCTTATTTGCCTGCAGTGTAGGTAGTCTTCCCAAGCTTTCTATCCATTTTGGTTGTTTGTTTTGCTTAACAATTGAATGAAAAGAAGATTTGAATGATGATGTAGTCTTTATAGAATTGTAAAGCTCAACGTAGTTTGTATGGATGTAATAAGATCTTTTGTCATCATTGGATGTAAAAAAAACTTGACAGAGTTCTGGTGTCACTGTGTGTGTACATGTATTGCTATTTCACTGATAATACCAGATCATTTCAGCTTTTGCTATGCCTTTTGGCTCAATGATTGGGGAAAAAAATGAAGTCTTTAAGATGTTAAAAAGCATTGAAATGGTGTAATTTTGTTTGTAAGGTTTTAGCTGTGTCAATGGAAATTTATCAAAATCCTTCAAACCACATTTTCGGTTAAGATAACTTTTGTCTTTTGCTTCAGTGACGTATGTTGTGTGAAAATGGTTGGTACTTACTACTACAGCTTAGGGCCCTTTCCCAATGAAACTATGGTTCTACGTTGAGTGATCCCACTCTTTGAGGACTCTCGCTGAATGCAGTCAGATTAACAGGCCTCCTCCTGCCGTTGAGTAGAATACACAAAAGCACGATTAAACGAGTACGTTGGAAACAAGAGGATGGGTGTTAGTCTGTTTATCTGATTGCATTCAGCAAAAGGAAACAGGCACTGAAGGCACATTACCTGTGGGTAAGACATTGCCCTTGCTGGTGCTGGCAGAATATGAATCCAGCAGTGGATCAGCCCAGATTGTTGTTAGTCTTATTTTATTGATCCCAGCTATCGATCACCACATTAAGGCAGATCGGCAGACATGATTAGTATACTCTCTTAAAGTAGATAGGGAATTATTGCCTAAAACAAATTGTTTCAAGTCTTATAAGCCTGCAGCCTTAAAGAAGTGCTTGATATAATTTTGTGAAATGGGATGATGACATTTTTACGTATGCAGTGGGAATTTCAGAATCTAAGATTTTGCTGCAGAATCTGAAAGCAATCATGCCTGGTAAACAGTATTGGATTGCTGTGAATCACTTGTTGAAATAGACACTAATTAAAAAGAGCAGCAATTCCCGGCTAGTTCAACCCTCATTAAGTTTTCTGTCCCCGCGGATCTTGTCTTCTTGCGTCACGCCTGTCCGCTGTGATGTCAGTAATATTCCCAGTCGTAGAAGTGGAGTCGATATCAATTTTGTGTCAGGAGTCTCAGTGTAGATCTCATCTCCACATGATATTGACTTTTTTTTTCTGTTTTTAGACAGATTATTCAGATAAATTCATTTTCAGAATAGTGTTAAAGGTGAAATAAAAGAGCTTGACCTGCATGGCATTCCTCACCCTTCTCATTTCAGTGTCATTGTTTAAATGAGATGTGTTGAGTTTTTCTTTATTTAATTATATTTTTTAATACTATTATTTAAAAACAATCCACCATTTTCTGGTGCTGCCAAAGTTTACGTCTGTTTCTCTCATCTTGTCATGAAGACAGAAGTGACTTGACTAATGTTTCTATTTGCTGTTTATGTAAATAATCTCAAAGAAGCATAGAAAGGCGCAAAGAAGATCATAAGTAATGTAATAAACATACGCATATTGTGCCATATTATCCTGCTTTCTGAGAAAATATTATCTCCATTATTAATTTTCAGCCGAGAGAGTTGACTAACATCGAGGAAATGAGGGTGGGTGCCGTGACATGGCATGTGAACAGTTCAAAAAAAGCTATTGAGCCATTCACATGTCGAAAGGATGGCATTTCAGCAGACATATTTTTAAATCATCACAAGAGTTGCTGTGGCAATCCCCTTTTTGATCCAGAAAACCTGCTTGCAATTTTTCTTACTGTATTTTTATTTTTGACGACTTGAGAGAAAGACATTTGTATGTTATCTATGTGAGAGCAATGGTGACAGAAATATAGAAATATTGGCATTGGTTACAGGCTTCGTTAATATTCAGTTAATGCAAAATTGACATCATGTTGTCCTCATGTTAAGTCAAGATGGGGTTTCACTGTGACAAGGCCAAAATGAATTATATAACCACAGTAACTCATGTGATGGCGAGTGGAAGGGAAAAAAAACAAAGGGGAAAGCTTCTGAATAGACTGCTATATGTGCAAGGATTAGTAAAGCTAATTTTGATCCCATTTTTTATCCCCGCTGCTGCCATCGTAGAATAAAAACCAAGACGTCCAGGGGAAGGTTTCCGCTTCGAGGCCTTGAGGCTGATTCGCCAGAAGGGTGCAACGGGTAAAAACTGTGCCCCCTGCTTGTTTCTTGAACTGTTTTTCCACACAGTGCCTCCACTTTATATTCAGGAGAAAAAGAGAAATACCTTTTAAAAAGTTTTGGGCTAAAACGTGTACTATTATGCAGTTACAGTAAAGATAGTTTCACCTTACTGCATTACCTTCTGGCAATTTCAGAGGTATTGTCAAAACTTGTTTCAGAAATTAGTGGTGCCACTTAACCAGATCCAGATAAAATTTGTTGGGCACCTCATTTTTTCAATCAAAATTCCATGAACAAATGAAATAAACCACATTTTTTTAATGGATGGTTAACTGTGTGTTAATTCAGTCCATTGCCAGCATGTTTTGAATATAAAACTGATTTTCTGCACCGTTTTTCTTTTTCTTTTCTCTCTTTTTTTGTCATTTTCTCCTTTTTTTCTTTGTATTTATCTCCCACTGCACTAGCTTGACAGCTGCAGCTGGTATTGATGATTCAGCAGCATCATCGGTTTTCAACAAAACTTGCAGCAATCCATAAATGACGCTAAATAATGATTTGTATTGTTGTCATATTAGAAGGTGGTAGCTTTGCTCTCTGTATAGCGCAGATCTTTATAGAAACCCTTCTAGTGACGCGTGTATGACGTCCAAACTTCATAATAGCGTGTGAAGATTTTGCATACAAGGATTTCCCATTATATCCTTTGCATGGTAGTCTTAATTGTGCACGAGGAATCTAAATTGCTTCTTGGCTGATTTATTGGTTCATATAACCAGAGAGTCAGATTCTTTAAAGTCACCGACTAAAGGATTTTTTTTACTTCAAATTCTTATTTTGTATGCGTCGTTACATAAGTGTCTATTTGTGACATATAATGGCCAATATGACCCATCCAACATAGACATCTCATTTAATGCATTTTCACGTACAGATTTTGATTTGGAAAAAAAAAAGGTGGGGGGGGGGGGGGGGGGAAGTTTTAAAATTTTTTTTTTTGGGGGGTTTAGTTTTTTGC